CCCGCCTGCTCCTTCTTGCCCCGCCTCCTGCGGGCACTGCCCAGCGAGCTGGCATCTGTTTACCCCTCATGCTCCTTGCGAGGAGATGGGGTGCGGGTGTCTGTCCACTCCTCAGTAGCTGGCCCAGCTCGGCTGGACTCCAGGCCCTGCTTTCAGCCCTGGGGCTCAGCCTCAGCCTCGGTTTCCTCGCCCACACAGCGGGCAGGAAGAGGACAGTGGCAGAGAGGGCAGGACCTGGGCTGGGTCCTGGCTCTGTGGTTCAGAGCGGGGAGCCTTGGGCGTCCAGGCCCTGCACTTCTCAGGGCTCCAGTGCCCTGAGCACCTCGACAGTGACCCCGTAGATAATTTCCTGCCTGTCAGAGGAGAGGGGGATGGTGGGCATTCATTTACCGCCTTCCCTCTGTCCCTCTGCCTCTGTCCCCTGGCAGGCTCCCTAGGGGGGCCAGGGGAGGTCTGGGGTGTTGGGTTTCAGAGGAGTTATTTTTGCCCCTGAGGCTGGAGGGAGACAGGTGATGTTCTGACTCTGCATTCTAGAGTGGGGTGAGGGGGCAGGGGCGGGCACCTCACCTGAACTCCTAGCCTGTGTTCTCTGCCTACAGTGGGTGACACGAGTGAGAACTGGGGACCTACCAACTAAATTCCCCCATGAGCCAGGCCCTGCTGGATCCCCTGGGCCCAGGGGATGAGAGAAGGCTTGTTCCTGGCAGAGCGAGTGGTGTGTCCAGGCAAAATGAACACGGCCATGCTGGGGGGCTCCAGAGAGGGGGTGCCCGGAGCATCGAGACCAGGAGGCATCGCAGGGATGAGGAAGAGAGAAGGGGGTGTGCTGTAGGCAGCGGGAAGTGCTTGGGCAGAGGGACCAGAAGGTGGCATCAGAGTGTGAGGGGCGGAAGTCGGGTGACTTGGGTGAGGCTGTGAGTGAGACTAGAGTGCTGGGTGGTCTGCACCCGGTCTTGCCTAGTTCAGGAGTCTGTCCCGTAAGGCAACCCATGTCATGGTGGAGGGGTCTCAGAGATGCTTCTAGTTCCATGCCCCATTTCACTGAGGAGGACACGGGGGCCAGAGAACTAACAATAAGACCTAGCCTTTAGGGCCAGAAATGTGACTCAGTGGCTGAGAGGAGGCTGTGCATAGCAGGGACCTGGGTTCGGTCCTGGCACTGAATCATCCTCTGAGCACTGGCAGGAGGGACTCCCTGAGTCCCTTAAGACAACAAAGACCAACCTCTACTCTTGGCCACCTCTCTGGCTCAACTACATTCTAATTTTTATTTATTTATTTATTTTGCTTTTTGGATCACACCCGGCGATACACAGGGGTTACTCCTGGCTCTGCACTCAGGAATGACTCCTGGCAGTGCTCAGGGGACCATATGGGATGCTGGGATTCAAACCCGCGTTTGCCGCATGCAAGGTAAACGCCCTAACCACTGTGCTATCATCGCTCCAGCCCGTACACTTTTTATTTTTAAAATTTTGGCTTTGTTTTGGGGCCACCCCTGGTGATGCTCGGGGGTTACTTCTGTCTCTGCACTCAGAAATTACTCCTGGCAGGCATTTGGGACCATATGGGTGCTGGGGCTCGAACCCAGGTTGGCTGTGCACAAGGCAAGCGCCCTACCTGCCGTGCTAGGGCTCCGACCCCCGAGTACAGTTCTAGACTCCGTGCTGCTGGGTTGCCAGCAGCCTTTCCTCCTCATTTGATTCTCTGTTGGCATTCCACAGGCGTGCGTGTGTGCGAGTGTGCGTCTCCGGGTATCCTGGGCGTGTGCGTGGGCCGCTGCCTCCAAGCCTTTTAGGGAAGCAGGAGACTGCAGGAGGCCTGGGAGGGAGTCTAGGGGTTGATAAAGGCTCCTCCTGCCAGGGAGCCAGTGGGCAGCTGCCTGGTCTTCTGAGACGTCGGAGCAGCCATACAGGGGCTGGGCTTTGGTTTGGGCAGACCCCCCAGCGACTCAGGGTGGTCTGGCTTGGACAGTCAGGCTTTTCGTGGGGCTGGGCTGGCGGCTCACAGTGAGACAGAGGCTGTTTCTCCTGGCACCCGGGACCCCCCTTCCAGTCCTGCCTACCCTCTGGGGAGAGGTAGCTATGGAAACAGGGTGGAACAGAGCCTTGGCCTTCAGGAACACTCTGCTCTGGGCAGCGTGGGAAACAGTCGGGGGAGGTAGCATTGCCGGGGCCTATGAGTGGTCAGGGACCTTGGGGTTGGGGTGCGGGGCTGGACCTGGGGGCTGGGGCGGGGTGGGAGGGAGGAACTGCAGGTTCCGGCCGTCAGTGTGGCCTGCACTGCCCTGGCGGCAGCACTCACCCTGGCTCCCCAGCTGGGCCAGTCTGGACCCAGCGTTCCCAGGCGTGCCTCGGTCTCCCCAGCGCTGAAGCGGTTGGCTCTGACCCAGCAGGACTGTGGCAGGCCCAGCGCGCAGCTTGACCAACTGAGGCTCTGGCTGGGATTAGCCCATCTGGCCAGGTCTGCTGCTGCCGGGGAGCGGTGCCTGGCATAGCAGCCGGCTGAGAGGGCACAGCTCTGACCCCCAGATGCCCTCCCAGCCGCCTAGCTGGCTCCGCCTTCCTGGTGAGCCCTCTTGGCCAGCCCAGCCTTGGGACTCCAAGCTGCCTGGCCCGGGGAGGTGTGGCCCGGTCCTGCGCTGCTATTGGCCAGGTCCTGCCGAGTTGAGCACGCCCCTAACTCTGATTGGCTGGAGGCCTGCTGGCAGCCCGCCCACCTGGTTGGACCCAGGGGTGGCTGGCCTGTGAGTCAGCTGCCCCTGGCCTCCACACAGGAACTCTTTTGAGGGGTGGGGGAGGGACACCACCGTGAGGCCTAGAGGGCCAGCAAGGGAGATCGCGGCAGGGATGGCGGAGGCCAGCAGACGGGCTTAGCCCCCCTGAATCCTGGCGTGGGGGTCTTGGGGGCTTGACAACCACTGTCCCCCTCCCAGTTCCCAACCAGCCGGGTGTGTGACAGCGTCGGGAGGAGAAGGGAGCTTGCTTGGGCTGGGGTTGGAACCCAGACCCTGTACAGAAAACTTTGGGGACCAGCCGCCATGTGTGTGCCTGCTAGGCGTGAGCACTTGAGCAGGAGTACCCTCAGGGTGGCGGGATGGCCTCTGCATCCCTAGGTGAGGTCCAGGGGCCGTGAATGAATGCATGTAAAGGCAGAGTTCCTGCTTCAGAGCTCACGGAGGCAGAGGGGGACGGGACCAGGATGGGGTGGGATGGGGTTGGCCAGGTGAGGCGCCGCCCAGAGAGGACCAGCCTGCTGCCTGGGGGTCTCCAGCCTCACTTCCCCTCTGCCTCCTGTACGATGGTGGTGGGGCAGCCTCCCCATGTACTTGCCCAGAACCGCCCAGAATTCCCACCAGCACTGACCCCTTTCTACCATCCGCTTCCCTTTGTTTGTTGCTTCCCTCACGTCCCTGGCTTTCTCTGGGCCTCTTTCTGGAATGTTCTGCCCAGAGCCCTGGGCTGCGGGAAGGTTTGAGAAGACAGTGGTTGAACAGTCCACCGCCTCCCCCCTCCGCCGCCTCCCACACTCCCTTCCCTGTCCAAGAGCACCCCCCTCCCCACCCGTGTACACCCAGCCGGAAATGCCTTGGCAGTGGTTACCATGGAAACCGGTCCTGCTGTTTAGGCTGCAGTGACCGTGCCCCCTGCAAGAGCCTGGCACCCTGCAGGCCTCCCGATAGGCGGAGCGTGTCTGGGGACTGCCTTCCTCTCTGCCAGGCGCCCTGCATTCTGTTGGTATCCAGAGGCTCTCAATGACGGGCCACTGTGCTGGGTGACACGGCCCTGGCTCCCATCTCGGTTCTATCTTTGGGGGGGTGACCTTGAGCCTGTCACCTTGGGGTGTTCTGAATGGAATAAATTAGCTATGGGCACAGTTATGCATGGAGCAGGCCCCCCCGCCCCCGGCAGGAGACTGCCAGGCCCGCAGACTCTCCCTCGACTGGCTCAGTGGGGGCTCCTGGCTCAGGGCCCTGGCCCTGGGCTTCTGCTCGTCTCTGCTTGGGTTCTTCTGCGTGGGGTGTGTGTGTGTGTGTGTGTGTGTGTGTGTGTGTGTGTGTGTGTGTGTAACTCCGACTGGTCTCCGGGATCAGGCTTCGAGGCTGACTTGTGCCTCCGTTTCCTCCACTTCGTTTCCATCCCTGACTCTGAGGTTTCTTGTGTGGGCAAAGTTGGATTCGCGTGTGTGAACGCATGCCAGGGTCCGTGCGACTGGGTAAGCGTGCACGCTCTCCGCGGCTGTTCTCAGAGGCCGGCAGCCGTGGGTGGGGAGAGCCGGGGCCCTGGTGCCAGTCCCTCTGTGGTTTTCCTCCCATCTGCAGCCGGGCTGGCTGAGATTCTGCCTGCTCCGGCAGGGTTGGCCGGGTGGTGCCCCTTCCCCACCCCCCATGCCCAGGTCTGGCTGGGCATATCTTGGCACTTCTGCCAGGGATTGAGCCACGCGCCCTGGTTTCACTGCTAACTCATAGCACTGAGGATTTTCTCTGCCTGGTCTCCAGCTGGCAGTGGCTACGGCCCTGCCTGGACCAGACAGCTGCTCGGTGGCTCCCCAGAGCCCCGGCCAGCCGCAGAGCCAGCTGCTGGACACAGGCCTCCTGCTGGCCGCCTCAGAGGGGACGTCTGTGGAGGAAAGTGCTGCTTCTGGAGGCGTTTTATTGAGACTGACTCCCCGGGCTTGGCTGCTTGACGCTCACATGGGTTGGATGTACTCGGGGAGACGTTCCAGAAAGGGGAAGGGGGTCCATCTCAGGCCAGGCTGGTCCTCCAGCTGAGGGGGCGGGGCGATCGTTCCTCTCTCCTGGTCCCCACCCCATCTCTGAGATCTTGCCAGCATGATGCCGGTGTTGGCCAGAAGGAAACAGGGTCCCCAGGACATACATGCGGAGTCTTCTGGGGGCTCCAGTCCTGGGTTGGGCTGTGGCCACTTGGGGTAGTGGGTGGTGGCCCTCGGATCACAGGAGCATTGTGTGAAATGACTTCTCTGTTCCTGCCTGTCCCTAGGGCATTGCCTCAGTGTTCTCCAGCCGTTCTTCCCGCAAGTCGACCTCGCGGGCGGAGGATACGGGCGGCGCCATGGCGGACGGCCAGGGGTACCGGAACCCCACGGAGGTGCAGATGAGCCAGCTGGTGCTGCCCTGTCACACCAACCAGAGTGGCGAGCTGAGCATCGGGCAGCTGCTCAAGTGGATCGATACGACAGCCTGCCTGTCCGGTGAGGCTGGGGGTGGCGGGGGGCACCTACCCACGTGCCTGGAAGAGACAGCCCCTCCCTCTGAGTTTTTTTTCTTTTTGGGTTACACCCAGTGATGCTCAGGGGTTACTCCTTGGCTCTGCACTCAGGAATTACTCCTGGCGGTGCTGGGGGACCATATGGGATGGTGGGGATCGAACCCGGTCGGCTGCATGCCAGGCAAACGCCCTGCCACTGTGCTATTGCTCCAGCCCCTCCCTTTCATTTTTTTTAATAATCACATTTATTTATTTATTTATGCTTTTTTTTGGGTCACATCCGGTGATTCACAGGGGTTACTCCTGGTTCTGCATTCAGGAATTACTTCTGGTGGTGGTCAGGGGACCATATGGGATGCTGGGGCTCAGACCCCAGTCGGCCGCATGCAAGGCAAATGCCCTTTGGTATGGCTCCAGCCCCTCCCTCTCAGTTTTGTTTGGTTTGGGGGCCACACCCAGCTGTGCTCGGGCCTTACTCCTGGCTCTGCATTCAGGAATCACTCCTGGAAGGGGTTGGAGGACCATATGGGGTGCTGGGGACTGAACCCCGGGCAGGCGAGTGCAAGGCAAGTGCCCTCCTCGCTGTACTGTCACCCTGGCCCAGAGCCTCCTTTCAAACATGATCCCAGGTAGTCGCACCCCCTTTCCCAGTGTGCTCCTCCGAGCCGGTCCTCTCCCCCTTACACTCTCTGGTTATTCCCCCATCGGTTCCCGGCCACCGTCCTCCGTGTGACTGCTTGAAGTAGATCGGTTTGTAGAGCTCTGTGGGCGGGGACCCTGTGCTGACCTGCTCTCCGCCCGCAGCCTTGTTTGGGGGGCTGCCCTGTGGGGGAACAGGGCAGGCAGACTTACTCTGGGTGCCAGGAAGGCCTCTTAGAGGGGCTTCAGGAGTCACGTCTGGAGGGTCAGGTCCGCTCTGGCCAGGGTGTGAAGGTGGTGCAAATGCCCCGGAGGAGATCTGGGCGCTCCTGGAGGCGGTGAGCCTGTGTGGGCACTGCTGCCCTCCACCCTCTGTGTGGGTGTGCCCGGCCCACCTGCGGGAAGCCAGTCCAAGCGCCCTGCCCTGGAGAGTGCAGCAGGAGGGAGGGACCCCAGAGAGAAAACTGGGACCGGCGGGGGGGGGGGGACTTCTGTGGAAGCAGGTGGGGTGGCATGGTGGGGTCGGGGGCCCCTGGCGTTTACTCAGACATTGGGGCATGGGTGCCGGGTGACTGATGCCAGCTTTCTCCTCCTGACACCAGCCGAGCGGCATGCCGTCTGCCCCTGCGTCACTGCCTCCATGGATGACATCTACTTCGAGCATACCATCAGGTGAGCGCTCAGCCTTCCCCCTGCTTCCTCCTCACGCTCCCCTCCTTGCCATACCCCCACCCTGACCCAGGGGCTGGGACCTGCCTGTCTCCCAGTGCTGCCAGTCCCCCAAGCTGCTATGTCCCCCTGTAGGGGCTGGTCGCTGGTTGAGGGGCTGGTCTTGCACCTGGGGGCTGGGGGGCTCCCTTCGGCCAGAGCAGGGCCAGGAGCAGGGTCTGTGGCTGAGATGGCGTCAGTCTCTCCTCTCGGAGTCGGTCTCCGGGCCTTGTCTGTGAGATGCAAGGGAGTTGACTTCACCAGTGGTACTTTGGGCATTTGGACTTTTCTTGGGGCATCCCTGGACGTCAGACAGAAAGTGTCTCGGCGAAGCCTGAATCAGAGGTTGGGGCTGTTGAGTTCTCGGCTCACAGACCTCTGTGGGTGAAGAGCTCACAAACTCCCAGGTATTTTTGTTTGCGTGTGTGACGCTGACTTGAACCCAGGCCTCAGGCTTGCAAGGTGAGCACTGTGCAGCGAGCTCCCCACTCCCGCCCACTTCAGTGTCCGTGTGCTTAGAGAGCTCCTTGTTTCACTTTGCTGAGCCCTTCCGGGACCCAGGGAGCCCCCAGAGCCTCGGCTGCAAACAGGGCCCTTGCCCCCAGGCCTTCAGTGTAGGCTGGTGAGCAGGACTTAGGACTCCCGGTGCCGGCAGGTGGCACTGAAGGGCACTGGGGCTGCTGTGCTCATGAACAGACCGGTGCCCACACGGGCTTGAGGTCCTCTGTGGGGAGGCAGCTGCCGGGGCTTTCCTTCGAAGAGCTACGTTTGTTTTTGTATGGGGGCCGTATCCAGTGTGCTCAGGGCTTACTCCTTCCTGGCTGTGTGTTCACGGATCATTCCTGGAGGAACTTGGGAGACCATCTGGGATACCAGGGTTTGAGCCCAGGTTGGCTGTGTGCACAGCAAGACCTACCCACTGTATATCTCTCCAGCCCCCCCAAAGAGCTACATTTCATGCTGGGAGTGCCCTGTGACTCATGGGTGCTTTGGTGTCCTTCCTTCCTTCCTTCCTTCCTTCCTTCCTTCCGTTTGTTTTTGGACCACACCCAGCAATGCTCGGGGTTTACTCCTGGCTCAGCACTCAGAAAGTATTTCTGGTGGTGCTCAGGGTCTATATGGGATGCTGGGGATCAAACTTGCCCTCCCATATGCCCCAGATTGTTCCGCCTTGTGCAGGTCTGAGATTAACTGCAGCTTTTGATCTCTTCCGAGATTTCTTTATGGGTCTCTGAAGCAAGGCCGATAAATGAGCTTATATGGCTGAGCCGGAGGTGGTTTATGGGTATGACTCCCATCCCTTACGTTTAGTGGTTTGATTTCTCAGAAAACTTGGTCCTGAGTTGTTGGCGTTCGACCAGAGACATAGTGGTGATTTGGGGGCATCAGGGGCCTGAGGGCACCATCAGGCTGCCGATGCACTCGCCTCGTGGGTCCAGGCTGAGCTGCTGGCATGGCCGCACCCCTGGGCCCCAGTGGTGATGGCAGCAGCGGCCCCCGCAGGGACCTGGACCGGGCCCAGGGCTTCTACTGTTTGAGGCTTGGACACTCTGGGCAGGCAGCAGCTAGTCCAGCAGAGCCTGGCCAGGGGGCACACGCCCCCATCCCGGGTCTCTGGACAGTTGGTGCTCAGGGAGGTCCTCCATAATACACTGCAGGCTGTGCATGGTGGTCCAGGGAAGAAATGGTGGTGGGGTTGCCCGCCGGCCACTCACAGCCAGGGCCTCATGGTGGGAACCCAGGGTTTAACCCAACTCCGGAACCCGCTCTCTGCAGTGGTTCTGAGTTGGACCCCAAGAGCCCTGTTCAGTCACTTAAAACTCTGCCACTGCCTAGGGGCCGGAGCGATAGTACAGCAGGTAGGGCGTTTGCCTTGCACACAGCCGACCTGGGCTCAATCCCCGGCATCCCATATGGTCCCCCGAGCACCGCCAGGAATAATTCCTGAGTGCAGAGCCAGGAGTAAACCCTCAGCATCGCTGGGTGTGGCCCAAAAAGCAAAAACAAAACAAAACAAAAAGCAAAATAAAACTCTGCCACTGCCTGTGGTGCCGGAGGCCAAGAGCTACAGTAGCTCTGCCCATGGGTGACCATGCTGCCACCATCCTCCCGAGTTCCGCTCTGGGCTGGCGCTCTGCAGCAGGGGACCAGCCTGTTTTGCTTAGTGGCGCTCTCCCTGAGACAGAATTATCCCAGGGACGCCCACATTCCCTCACGCAGACATTTTATGACCCCCAAGGGCTGTTCAGAGCCTTGGCACTTGCTGCCACCCCAATCTTAGAATACTTTAAAAATATTGGGGGGCCACACCCAGCTGTGCTCAGGGATCACCCCCAGCAGGCTTGGGGACAGAACCTGCTTCAAGCCTGGGCAAGAACCTTACCCACTGTACTATCTTTCCAGCCATTCATTTCCTTACTCCTCAGAACAATCCTGTGAGGTCATGGCTGTCAGTGTCATTGTACAGATGAGAACACTGAGGTCCGTGGATAGAAAATGACTTGCTTAAGGTCATACAGCCCATGGAGGACCCAGAACATATGACCTGGTAGGCAGTCTGACTCTGGGGCTAACCAGTGGGCTACATTTCTATATGTCTGAGGTAGGTATAGCGACACAGAGGGTAGTCCAGAGAGGCTTCCCAGAGGAGGTGTTCCAGCTAGCTCCAGCACTGTCGACACTGTGAAATGATGCTTTGAAGACGAGTGGAGCCTGGCCTGGCCTCAGATCTTGCGCCTGTAGGTTCTGGTGCACGGAGGGGTGAGGGATAGACAGGGTGGGGGTGGGGAGACAGTCTGTGATGGGGGCCCTGCTGCAGGACCAGGCGGGGGTGGAAGGGAGAGCGTGAAGGGCCTGGGAAGGAGGCAGGGCTGCACCTGAGGAGAATTTATGGTCCTTGCTGTTCAAAGTGCCCCTCTCGGTTGCATCAGCAATGGGACGTGAATCCATGATCCTTGCCGATTAAGTTGAACTTAAAACCAATGCATCATTGGATTTCTCAGAAAAACAGAATGCCCCTCTCTGGTCGGGCGGGAGCTCTCGGGAGCACCAGCGCCTTCTCGCTCCCGTCAGCCCGTCAGCGCCAGGAGGGGCGCTGGGCCTGAGTCTGTTCTGCTGCAGCTGCCTCTGCTGTGGGTCAGGGTGCGGCTCCGCCGGGGTCTCTCCTGCTTCTTAGACGCCTGGCCGGCTGCCGCCTTAGCCCGGCTCTCTCCACCTGTGGCGCTCTCTCGTCTCGCTTCATTCGCCTCTGTCTCTGCCTCTGTCTCTCTGTCTCTGTGTCTCTGCCTCTGCCTCTGTCTCTATCTCTGTTGCTCTCTGTCTCTGTCTCTCTGTCTTTGTCACTCTCTGTCTCTGTCTCTCTGTCTCTGTCACTCTCATCTCTGTCTCTGTCTCTCTCTGTCACTCGTCTCTGTCTCTCTATCTCTGTCACTCGTCTCTGTCTCTGTCTTTCTGTCGGTCACTCTCTTCTCTGTCTCTCTCTGTCTCTGTCTCTCTGTCTCTGTCACTCTCTCTCTCTCTCTCTGTCTCTGTCTCTTCACTTGCGCTCTCTCTGTGAGGGTCCCAGTCCCTGGCCATCTGGATGCTCATCTGCTGGTGCTGCCGTCCGTATCCCTGTGGTGTCATTCACGGTGGCCTCTGTCCCCTGCACACATCAGCGTGTGGTGTGTGGGCGCCACCTCTCCGCCCGTCAGAGACCTGGGGAGAAGCCAGTGGGGCCTGAGCTGTGGCATGGAAGGAAGGTCAGAGGTCCAAGGGGGTGCTCCCTGGTTTGTGGGCACGTTTGGGAGAGGAGGGGCAGGAGGAGTGGGAAGAGGAGGAGAGGGAGGAGGAGGAGCAGGAGGAGGAGCAGGAGGAGGAGCAAGGGGAGGAGCAGGGGGAGGAGTGGGAGGAGGAGCAGGGGCAGGGGGAGGAGGAGAGCAGGAGGAGGAGCAGGGGGAAGAGCGGGGGGGGGGCGGGGGAGGAGCGGGAGGCGGAGCAGGAGGAGGAGCAGGAGGAAGAGCAGGGGGAGGAGCAGGAGGAGGGGCGGGGGAGGAGCGGGAGGAGGAGTAGGAGGAGGAGTGGAGGAAGAGCAGGAGGAGGAACAGAAAGAGGAGTGGGGGAGAAGCAGGAGGAGGAGCGGGGGAGGAGCGGGGGAGGAGCGGGAGGAGGAGCAGGAGGAGGAGCAAGGGGAGGAGCAGGGGGAGGAGTGGGAGGAGGAGCAGGGGCAGGGGGAGGAGGAGAGCAGGAGGAGGAGCAGGGGGAAGAGCAGGGGGAGGGGCGGGGGAGGAGCGGGAGGAGGAGCAGGAGGAGGAGCAGGAGGAAGAGCAGGGGGAGGAGCAGGAGGAGGGGCGGGGGAGGAGCGGGAGGAGGAGTAGGAGGAGGAGTGGGGGAAGAGCAGGAGGAGGAACAGAAAGAGGAGTGGGGGAGGAGCAGGGGGAGGAGTGGGAGGAGGAGCAGGGGCAGGGGGAGGAGGAGAGCAGGAGGAGGAGCAGGGGGAAGAGCAGGGGGAGGGGCAGGGGAGGAGCGGGAGGAGGAGCAGGAGGAGGAGCAGGAGGAAGAGCAGGGGGAGGAGCAGGAGGAGGGGCTGGGGAGGAGCGGGAGGCGGAGCAGGAGGAGGAGCAGGAGGAAGAGCAGGGGGAGGAGCAGGAGGAGGGGCGGGGGAGGAGCGGGAGGCAGAGCAGGAGGAGGAGCAGGAGGAAGAGCAGGGGGAGGAGCAGGAGGAGGAGGAGGAGGAGGAGAAGCGGGGGAGGAGCAGGGGGAGGAGCAGGAGGAGGAGCGGGGGAGGAGCGGGGGAGGAGCGGGAGCAGGATTATGGGGAGGAGCAGGCTGGTGAGGAGTGCTGGAGGGCCTTGCAGTAGGGCAGTGACGGACTGGGGTGGCACCTCTGCCCCCCCTCCTTCCAGCATCTGCCAGTGGGTCCCCTGCGCCTGCAGTGGCTCCGGGTGCTGACTGTGTGGCGGTGGGAGCCGACTCTGAGCCCAGCCCCCATCTCCCCCCTTCCAAGTGTGACTCAAGTCTCAAAGGAGGGGCTGGAGCCGTGGCACAGCGAGTGGGGCACTTGCCTTGCGCGTGGCCAGCCGGGTTTGACCCTCAGCATCCCACATGGTTCTCCAGTCACTGCCAGGAGTGACCCCTGAATGCAGAGCCAGGAGTAACCCCTGCAGACCACCAGCCGTGTGCCCCCCCAAAACTAACCAAACAGCAGACCCCAGTGGGGCCCTGCCTGGCCCACAGCAGGCGTGCCTTCAGGGGGGCCTCCCTCCTCTCCCTCTGCGTGGGGCCTTGGCCCTTGGATGCGGTTGAATGTGGGGTGCGGCCACCCCTGGGGTGCTAGGGACCTGCTCCCGGTCAAGGGGAGGCTGTCGAGAGCAGGCGACTCTGCTGCCGTGAAACGCCGTGATGGACGGGTCTGCTGGAAGAGCGCGTGAGGAGGGTGGGCATGGGAGGGCGTGTGAGGAGGGTGGACATGGTGGGCTGAAGGAGGCCCGGGATCGTGCCCAAGGTGAGCCCGAGGGTCTGAGAGCACTAGACTGGCTGGAGGGAGCACGGGGAGACGAAGTGCCCTCCTGGCCTTCTCTCCTCCCTGCTGGGCCCGTCCTGAGTCTGCACCCTCCTGTGCAGGTGACCATCCTGCCGGGATCTCAGTCCTGCCCCTCCCCTGCCTCCCGGGAAGCTCACCCCTGCTCTTCTCTCCCCAGTGTTGGACAAGTGGTGAACATCAAGGCCAAAGTGAACCGGGCCTTCAACTCCAGCATGGAGGTGTGTGGGGTGGGCCCTGCCCGGCGGGTGGGGGAGGCGTCACCTCCTCTCCAGTCTCAGATGCATTCGGAGCCCTCACGGTCGCACTCGGCATCCAGCTGCTGTGGCAGCTTCTGGAATGTCCGGGAGCATCATGGGGAGCTTCCTGTCCCTGGGGGAGGACAAGGGACTGGCCTCTAGACACAGGCGTGGAATTTTGCCGCTGGCCCCGGCTTCCAGCCTCCCGGGTCCTCCCGGCGGGGTGCCCTGCCAGAGCCCCTGGACCCCGGGCTGGACCCCTTCACAACTCCGTCTCCCCACGGGTCAGAGGGGCCGATTCCTGTGGTGCCGGCTGTCGGGGTCACAGGGAACACCCTGGGGTCTGGGGGTGATGGGCGCTGCGGGGAGATGCCTCACCACCACTGATGCTGGGAGCAGGGCACTGGGGGACACCGGGGGCGGCCAGTCCTGGCTGTGTCTTTGGGCCCCCGTGGCCACCCCAGCCGTGTGTGTCTTCAGCGTCGCTGGTGCCTCGGCCCCCGAGGCCCTTTCTGGGGCCAGTTTCTCTCTTGTCCTGGTCTCCCGGGAGGGTGGTGTAGCCAGTCCCAGCCTGGATAGGAAGGGGAAGGGCTTGCTGGATCCCCAGCCTGGAGGCCCGTGGGGCAACACCCCTGCGAGGCTGAACTCTTTCCCCCGTCCCCCAGGTGGGCATCCAGGTGACCTCGGAGGACATGTGCTCGGAGAAGCAGTGGACCGTCTGCAAGGCCCTGGCCACCTTTGTGGCGCACCGCGAGCTCTCCAAGGTGAGGCCACTGGCCGCCGCACCCGGTGTGGGGTCTGGGTCTGGGCAGGAAGTGCATGGCCCGCAGAGGGAGGACCCCGCCGAGACCCCTCCCCAGCGCCCACCCTTGCTGGCAGCTCCTCAAGGCCCCTCTGTCTCCTGAGTGCTTGGCCCTTGCACAGGACCCGCGGGGCTTTGGAGGAGGAGTGTGGCGTCCCCGGGACACGGAGGCGGGGAGACGGGGACTGAGAACAGGACAGGGGGCCAGGCGGGGAGTGGCTGGGCCAGGCACTGTGCTCACTCAGGGGCCCGCCCTCCCGCCGCTGCCACAGGTGAAGCTGAAGCAGATCACGCCGCACACTGAGGAGGAGAAGACGGAGCACGGCGTGGCAGCTGAGCGCAGACGCATGCGGCTGGTCTACGCCGACACCATCCAGGGCCTCCTGACCAGCTTCCCCATCCAGGACGGTGGGTGACGCAGTGGGGTGACTGTGGGGTGACTGTTGGGGTGACCATTATGAATGACTTGTGGTACATGATTGTGCTGGTGGGTGACTGGTGGGTTACTATGATGGTAAGTGGGGTGACTGTTGTGGGTAACTGTTGTAGTGGGTGATTTGTGGGTGACTGCTATGGCGGGTAATTGGTGGGTGGCTGTGCTGGTGGGTGACTGTGGTCATGAGTGACTGTTGTGGGTGACTATAGTGGATAATTGTTGTGGGTGACTATTGTGGGTAACTGTTCTGGGTGACTCTGGTGGTGAGTGACTGGTGGGTGACTATGATGCCAAGTAACTGGTGGTGGGTGACTGTTGTGGGTTACTGTTGTAGTGGGTGACTGGGGGGTGATTGGTGGTAGGTGAACATGGTGGTGGGTGACTGTGGTGAGTGACTCTGGTAGTGGGTGACTGTCATGGGTGATTCTGATGGTAGGTGACTGTGATGGTAGGTGACTATTGTGGGTGACTGTGGTAGGTAACTGTTGTGGTGGTAGGTGATTGTTGTGGTGGGTGACCTTGGTGGTGGGTGACTGTTGTGGGAGACTGTTGTGGGTGACTATGGTGGTGAGTGACTATTGTGGGTGACTTTGTTGGGTAACTGTTGTGGTGGGTGACTGTGGTGGTGGGTGATTGTCATAGGTGACTCTGATGGCAGGTGACTGTGATGGTGGGTGACTGTTGTGGGTAACTGTTGTGGGTGACTGGTGGTGGGTGACCATGGTGATGGGTGACTGGTGATGGGTGACTGGTGGTGGGTGACTGGTGGTGGGTGACTGGTGGTGGGTGATCGTGTTGGTGGGTGACTGTGGTGGGCGATGGGCCTGCATGTCTCTGGGCCCTGTCTAGCTGGGCAGCGCCAAGGCGGGGCCCAAGCTGGGCTCTCATCTCTCAGTTCCACCCATGAGTCTGACAGCTGTCCCTTGTGGGTGAGGACACTGAGGCTCAGAGGGGCCCCTTCACCTTCCCAGGGTCACCCGCCCATGTGGGCTGGCGCTGAGGGTCTCGTTGGGCTGTGCCATGCCTCCAAGCTGCTGTCACCACCGGGATCTGGGTCCCGGGATCTGGGTCCCATGGCCCTCCTCTCCTGGCACACGTGGGCCTGAGCAGACGGGAGACTCGGCTGGGCGTGGCATGAGGGGTCAGGGAGAGGCCCCTGGCCCCATCTCACCCCCGCATCCCCGTGTCCCACTGCGCAGACCTGGAGAGCCGAGACTGCAGCCACAGGGTGCCTGCCGAGAAGACCTATGTGGAGAGCGTGGAGCTGGTCCTGCCCCCGCACGCCAACCACCAGGGCAACACCTTCGGGGGCCAGATCATGGCCTGGATGGAGAACGTGGCCACCATCGCTGCCAGGTGGGGCGTCGCCCGCCCCCCCCTCTGTCCCACTGCACAAGGTTTCATCCCCTTGGCCGTGCTGCCGGGGTGTCCCAGGGCCCCGGACCCCCAGCCGGGAGAGAGTGACTATCAGCTGCAAGCTGCCCGTTCAGGATGACGGTGCCCCCCAGGGGGTGATGCCATTCACTCTCTCCAACCAGGCTTTGCCCTCCTCGTGCCCACAGCCCACCCTCCAGCCCTTCTCTGTCCATCTCCAGCCCTCTACCTGGCCAGCCCCGCTGTCTCCCAGATCCTGCCCCCTCCTCCCCACAGTCTCTGGGCTGTTCCCTCCCAGAGAGGAAAGTGTTTCCTTCCTTTCCCCATAACCTGTGCCCGCTAGGGCCCCTTCACCTCCAAGTATGGGGGTAGTTTTTGCAGCCCTGCTGTCCACTCACGGACAGTGTGTGCCCCCTGTGAGCTGGTACTCACTGCCTCAGCCAGGAGCGCCTGCCCAACCCCCAACCTCCTTAGCTAGGGAAAATCTCCCTCACTTTTCAGTCCTGGGTGCAAACGGCCCCACCTGTGGCGTTAACCTGTGGGACACAGTGCATAAGCCATGCCCTCTGGGGCTGCCCAGCCAAGAGTGTGAGAAACTCTCTGAGGAAAAGCGGAGGTGGCTAATCAGGGAGGTCTTCCTGGAAGAGGAGCACTTCACTGGGCCTTGAGTAGCTTTCAGTAAAGTGGGTTTGTGGGTAGTGGAACACCATGTGCTAAGGTACGAAGGCTGTGGGCCAGAGAGATCATGCAGCTGACCCTGGTTTGATCCCCATCACCACATCGTCCCGTGAACACTGCCAGGAATGCCCCCGAGCACAGATTTGGTGGTACCCCTGAGCACTGTGTCTCGGCCATTCCCCCATAAATAAGTGCAGTCTAGGGGTTGGAGGGAAGATGGGAAGACCAGCTCTGAGCTCACTCCTGTCACCTCCAAACTACTTCCCAGCCCCACGCTGGGCCTCAGGGTTGGACGTTGGTGCTGTTCTGGGCAGGACTGTCAGCAGGTCAGTGGGTGCGGGTGGCCCAGAGGGCAGGGTCAGTGGCTCTGGTCTGGGTCTGGGTGGGGTTCGGGAGGCAGTTGCCCCAAGCTAGTGGCTGAAGTATTGGGGGGCGTTTCTTCTGTTCCTCCCGCCCCTGCCTCCTCTAGCCGGTTATGCCGGGCCCACCCTACGCTGAAAGCCATCGAGATGTTCCACTTTCGGGGCCCGTCCCAGGTGGGGGACCGCCTGGTGCTCAAGGCCATCGTGAACAACACCTTCAAGAACAGGTGAGAGGGCACTGGACAGGAGGGTTAGAAGTAGGGCAAGGGATATTCTTGGTAAGCTTGCAGAATCAATACTGCAAACCACAAGGCCCAAAAGGGGAGAGGAAGGGAGGGAGAGAGGGAGAGAGAGGGAGAAGGAGAGGGAGAGAAGGAGAGAGGGAGAGAGAGAGAGAGGGAGGGATGAAGGAAGGGAGAGAGGGAGGGAGGGAGAGGGAGAGAGAGGGAGGAAGAGAGAGGGAGGGAGAGAGAGAGGGAGGGAGGGAGAGAGGGAGCGATGGATGGATGGATGGATGGATGGATGGATGGATGGATGGAGGGAGGGAGGGAGGCATAGAGGCAGGCTGGGGGTTGGGGAAGGGGGTGATGGAAGGAGCCTGGGGACACTGCTGAGAAATGTACCCTGGCGGAGGGTTGGGTGTTGGAACTCTGTATGACTGAAACCCGATCGTGAATAGCTTTGTAAGGGTCTGTCTCACAGTGATTCAATAAAAAAGTTTAAAAAAAGGAAAAAAATAACAGGTGAGTGGTTGGGGCAGGTGGTCCGTGAAGGGGCCCAGCTGTCATTCTGCTGGCCAGCCCCCCGCAGACAGGGTCCCACATTGCTCCCTGCCCCCGCCAGCTCGGGGCAGGGAGCTCCTCTACCTCCCCTCCTGCCTCTGGGGACTCTCAGACCGTGGGCTTCCCTTAGAGCCAGGGCTCCGTGTCTCCCCTCCCCCACAGCCTAAGGTTAGGGTGTCCCCAGGACCTGTCTGTGGGTGGTGGGCATTATCCTGGGGGGCTCTGTTCCACCTCCTGGGCTTTCCCCTCGAACCCTCCTGGCCTGTCCCCTCAAACCCTCCTGTCCTCTCCAACTCTCCTGGCCTTTCCCTTCGAACCCTCCTGACCTGTCCCCTCGAACCCTCCTGGCTTGTCCCCTCAAACCCTCCTGGTTTATCCCCTCGAACCCTCCTGGCCTGTCCCCTCAAACCCTCCTGGCCTGTCCTCTCCAACTCTCCTGGCCTGTCCCCTCCAATTCTTCTGGCCTGTCCCCTTGAACTTTCCTGGCCTGTCCCCTCGGACCCTCCTGGCCTGTCCCCTCGGACCCTCCTGGCCTGTCCCCTCAGACCCTCCTGGCCTGTCCCCTCGGACCCTCCTCACCTGTCCCCTCGGACCCTCCTGGTCTGTCCCCTCGGACCCTCCTCGCCTGTCCCCTCCGACCCTCCTGACCTGTCCCCTCCAACTCTCCTGACCTGTCCCCTCGAGCCCTCCTGGCCTGTCCCCTCAAACCCTCCTAGCCTGTCCTCTCCAACTCTCCTGGCCTGTTCCTGTACAGCCCCTGTGGGCCATCAGGCTGGGTAGGTGGGAGGGTGTTGGCTGCCCGCCCCCAACAGTGCATCCATTAGGGCGTGGCCCGGCCACTTTGGCTGGTCTTTCCTGCGTCCCCAGAGGCTGGCGTGAGGCCAGGCCTGCCGCGGGGCTCTGTCACCTGCAGCGAGGGCCTGGCTGCACTTCCTGCCACTGGGACTCGCTCCGTGCTGTGGGGATGTGCGTGTGCACATGCATACTGGCTGTTGGTGCGTGTGGTGGGCCCGAGTGCTTGCTTGTGTGTGCAAGGTGGTGTGGGTGTGGGTGTCCGAGCGCCATGGCCTTGGAAGGGCCCCGCCTGGATGCAGCCTTGTCCCTGCAGCATGGAGGTGGGCGTATGCGTGGAGGCCTATCGCCAGGAGGCCGAGACCCAGCGTCGCCACATCAACAGCGCCTTCATGACCTTTGTGGTCCTGGACGCAGACAACCAGCCGCGCACACTGCCGCTGATCCTGCCCCAGCCAGGGGTGAGTGGGGCTGCCCTTGCCCTCGCCCGTCCTCTGCCCTCTCTGCCAGCTCCTGCCAGGCCGGTGGGGCCACCGGTGAAAGTGGGCACCTTGTTCTACCCGGAAGGACTCGGCTCCTGACGGTGGGTGCCCCCAGCCTGCAGAGTTGGGCGAGCACTGCCTGTGGAGTCCATGTAGGTCAGGACCACCCTGCCCCCCTGCAGGCTTTCTGTTTCTGGGTATAAGAGGGCGCTTCTGAGTCCTCGAGGTGGGGGCTTTCCCACGGGGACAGGAGACAGATGTCAGGAGTGGTCTCCGAGGCTCCCTTCAATGTCTCCGCTCCCGGGGCTGGTGCACGGCCATGTGTGCCCCGGGTTCTAGCCCCGGCACTGCAGAGAACAGACAAACATGGAGATGAAACTCCTCCTTCCTTCCTGTGGACCCTGCTCCCTTCTCTCGGCCCAGGGAGCGTCCTTTTCTGTGAGAGATCCCTGCTGGGCAGCTGGACGGGCTGTGGGGGGCAGGGGGCCTGCCGGCGGCAGGAGCAGGTTCCCAGGACCAGCGGGGTCCCTGAAGTGCTCTGGGGATCCATCCACGCAGTTCCTGGGAGCAGAGAGGTGTTAGAAGCAGCGGGTCCTGGGACCTTTTTCTGACACTTCCCCCCTCACCCCATGACCCAAGCCCCCTAGCCTTCCTGCCCTCATCCCTCTCTGCAGCGGACTTATGTGGACTGTCCCTTGGGGAGCACTTCAGCAGAGCCTCTGGAGGCCGGGAGAGCACTCAGGGCAGGAGCACCCCTCCCATCCGCAACAAGGTCCCAGTTCAGTCTCCGCCGCCACCAGTGGCCCCCAGCATGACTTGGAGGTCCCACCCCCTGCTGAAAGCCAGGATGTAGGTCAAGTAGAACCACGCATGTACGAGCCCCCAAGTGTGATCCCTGGCCCTGGTGGCACCTGCTGAGGGTGGCCCTGTGCCCCTGGCCTCCCTGTGAGGTCAGAGCAAGGGGGAAGAGCGTCTGCATCTGTAGAGACTCATCTGGGGAGTAGCCAGTGCTCAGTCTAGGAGGGTTCCCAGGGGAGCCACAGCACTGCGGAGAGGGCACTTGCCTTGCACACAGCTGACCCGGGTTCGATCCCCAGCATTGTATGATCTCCTGAGCACCACCAGGAGTGATCCCTGAGCGCAGGGCCAGGAGCAAACCCCGAGCACCATCAGGTGTGGCCCCCAAACAACCACCAAAATGAGGGTTCTTGGTTGAAAGTGCCTTTGAGGGGACCCCTGACAGGCGGAACAGGGCCCTGGACAGGCGGTGACGCTGGGGCGCACGTCAGGGTCACCTGCCCCGCATTCCCAGGTGGGCTTCATGGACTCCCGTGGCCCTGTGGTACCCGCACTCTCCTGGAGGGCTGCAGGGGGCCCCTGAGGACAGAGCACTGGGGGCTGTTGGTGTCCTCTCCCGCCCAACACCACTGTCTGCACCTGCTTCTCCCCCAGGATGGTGAGCGGCGGTACCGGGAGGCCAGTGCCCGGAGGAAGATCCGGCTGGACAGGCAAGTTCTCTGGGCTGGGCGGGCAGGGCTCGGGGCTCGGGGCTCAGGCAGCAGGACCTTGGGGTAGGACCTGGGGCGCAGGACTTGGTCGTGAAGGTTGAGAGGGTTGAGCACAGCTGGGCTCCTAAACTATTACAAAGGCCTGTGTCAGGGGGTTCTGCATCCAGGGGATTCTACACTCTCGGGTTCTATACACTGGGGGTTCTACATTCTGGGGGTTCTGCATCCTGGGGGTTCTACATCCCTGGGGTTCTACATTCTGGGGGTTCTGCATCCTGGGGGTTCTACATCCTTGGGGTTCTACATTCTGTGAGTTCTATACTCTGGGGGTTCTGCATCCTGGGGGATTATATACTCTGGGGGTTCTGCATCCTGGGGGATTATATACTCCGGGAGTTCTGCATCCTGGGGGATTATATACTCTGGGGGTTCTGCATCCTGGGGGTTCTACATCCTTGGGGTTCTACATTCTGGGGGTTCTGCATCCTGGGGGTTCTGTCCAGAGGGTTCTACATCCTTGGGGTTCTATACTTTGGTGGTTCTGCGTCCTGGGGGTTCTGTCTAGAGGGTTCTAACCCTTGGGGTTCTATATTCTGGGGTTCTGCATCCTGGGGATTCTGTGTCCAGGGGGTTCTATGTCTAGGGGATTCTGCGTCCAGGGGATGCTGCATCCAGGGGGTTCCTTGTCTTGGGGGTTCTTCATTCTGGGGGGCCCGTGCCTTGGGTCCTGTGCTCTGGGGGGAGGCGTTGTCTGTGCCCACCCACATCCTCCCCCAGCCTGTCCTTTCTCAGAGTCTGACCTTCTCCAGGCCATTGTGGTCACCTGTCCACACTGGTGCCCCTGTCTCAGGGGGTCTCGTCCACAGAGATGGGTCCCCAACTGGTTCTGTCCCTGCCCCCAGGAAGTACATCGTGTCCTGTAAGACGGAGATGCCGCTCTCGGTACCCTGGGATCCCAGCAACCAGGTAGGGGGCTCCCTCCTGCCCCGCTGGTCAGGGGGCTGGGTAGGCCGGAGGGGCTGGGCTGAGGTGACCGCAGGCGCACACAGTGTGCCGATGGGACTTCCTGTTCAGGGCCCAGCACCCACCCTGCCTCCCCCCACCCCGCCCCGTCTGAGCTTCCTGTCTGCCTGTCCAGGTGTACCTGAGTTACAACAACGTCTCTGCCCTGAAGATGCTTGCGGCCAAGGACAAGTGGGTGCTGTCCTCGGAGATCAACCAGGTGGCTGCCTCGCCCACGTCCCTTTCTCTGGGCGACCAGGGGGGCTGACAGGGACGCTCGAACTCTCATATCCCTCGGGTCCAAAGGTTTCCTTGGGGGTCCGAGGACATTATGGCACGACCAGAGAAGCAGAGCTGCCCCCGGTGCCAACCCTCCCCTCCCCAGAGCTTCACCCCTGCAGGGCTGGGGGCTGAGAGGGGTGAGGGGAGGCATGAGCTGTGCCTCTCCCCCTTGGATGTGTCCTTCACGCCCCCCACCCCCACTTCATGGCATCGACCCTGTGCGGGGGACACTCTGGGCCTCACACTGGTCCCCAGACCTCCTTCCGGGTCCTTTCTCCCTCGGGACTCCCACCCAGGGCGACAATGGGCTTTGAACTTGCGGCCTGGCCCCTCCCGGCCCTGATGCCGTCCCATCCACTTGTGCGGAATCCTCTCTAGTGCATATTTCCACCGGGCTGTGACTCAGAGAGGTCGAGCTGCTTCTCCATAGTCACACAGCGAGTCAATGGCGACCCAAGGCAGGCGCCCAGCTTGGGTGAGGGGGATGCTGGAGCTGAGTGGCTCTCTGTCCCTTGCAGGTGCGCCTGTACACCCTCGAGGACGACAAGTTCCTCTCCTTCAAGATGGAAATGCTGGTGCAGCTGGACCCTGCCCAGGTCTTCCAGCTGCTCTCGGACCTGCACCGGCGGCCCGAGTGGGACAAGCACTACCAGTGAGGACAGCTGGGTGGCATTAGGGAGGGGACACTGCTGGACTTCGGGCCTGTGTCTGGCCACCCTAGCCTGGGCCTCAGTATAGCTTCCTCTTAGAATGGGTGCTTGAGGCACCAGAGAGATGGATTGAAGCGCTTGCCTTGGGACTGGGGCGGGAGCACAGTGGGCAGGGCATGTGCCGCATGTGAACACTTGTATGCGCACACACACACTCACACATACACACACAGATACTCACACTCACATACACACACACTCACCCACATACATACTCACACACATTCACTCACACTCACACGCACACACACATGCACACACACACTCACATACACTCACACACACTCACACATACACACTCACACACTCATACACACTCACAGACACACACTTATACACACAAAATCACACACATACACTCATACATATACCACACACACTCACACATACACTCACACACACACTCACACACTCATACACACACACACACACTCACACACTCACACATTCACATATACCACACACATACACTCATACACATACTCATATACACACTCACACACACACTCACACACACTCACACACAGCCTGGGTTTGATCCCAGGCCTGAGCCTCATCAGGACTGATCCTCAAGGGCAGAGCAGATCCTGAGCACTGCCAGCTGTGGCCCCGATCACTGCTCACCCCCACCCCCGTCCCAACAAAGTGCTTGCTCCGTGCCACTCACTCCCAGGTTCCATCCCTGCACCACCCCATGGTCCCCTGAGCATCCCCCGGCGTGATCCCTGAGCCAGGAACAAACCCTGAGCACACAATGGGTGCATGCCTGGGTGTGCCTGACCATGTCTGTGCATGTATGTATAGATGGATATGCATGATCAGTGCTGTATGTATGAACAGACACGTAAGGTCTATATGTGTTGGTGCATGTCTAGCCCATGTGTGTGCATGCATGACTACCCAGGAGTCCACACACATGTCTGTGTCCATGTGACACGTGTGACATGTATGTGTCTGTGTGTATACTCATGTGCCTATGTATATGTTTGACGGATACACGTGGTCTGCACATGATGGGTTGTGTCTGCCTGTGTCTGAGCATATATGTATGGACAGACATGCATGGCCTCTATGTTGCCGGTGTGTGTCTGTGTCCGTGCACATGTGACTCCCCATGTGCCTGTGTAGTACATATGTGACCAGCCACTCACAATGTGTGTGTACCAGTGCATGGCTGTGTATGGGTCTGCCCCTGTACACGTGTGTATGAGCCGCCCATGGCGTGTGGGCATGTCTCTCCACGTGTCTGCATGCGTGTGCCTGCCAGTGTCTGTCCCTGTGGTCCATCTGCTCCGCACGTGTGTCTGTTGGGGCTTTTGCCCCCTCCTGGGGCACCCGCCTTTTGAGCAGTGGAAGAGGAGTGAGCTGTCCACCAGGCACCTGCTGGGGGGTGGGCCTGGGCCTGGTGGGCTGGGGCGCTGGGGTGACCCGGGGCCTGGGCTCTGTGCCGCCGCAGGAGCGTGGAGCTCATCCAGCAGGTGGACGAGGATGACAGCATCTACCACGTGGTCAGCCCCGCCCTGGGCGGCGACATCAAGCCACAGGACTTCGTGATCCTGGCCTCCCGGAGGAAGCCTTGTGACAACAGGTAGGTGCCCACAGGGGAGGGGGGGTGTCCTCTTCCTCCCCAGGGAGGGGCACCTCACTGGCCACAGGGACCCCGAGGGGCCAGTTGGCTTTTTTTGGCCTCCGTGCTTTCTGTGCATCGAGTGGGGGGCGGGGTAGGGGCAAGGAACATACCACCCTCCCCCACGTACTCTAAAGCCTCACTTCTTTAATGGGGGGGGGATGGTGACAGCATGGGGGGGTCATGGAAAATTCAGCAGCAGAGAAAGGATCCTGATGGCGCAGCCCCTGGGAATCAGCCCCACCCGCACGTCACGGAGCATCACAGGCGCTTCCTCCGTTGCATTTCTCAGATGACAAACGGTCACCAGTGGGGAAACTTCCAGAAGCCCTGCTGTGAAGCTGGGTGGTCTGTCCCCGGGGTGCCTGGCCAGGCTCTCTCCCGAGGCCGCCTCCCCAGGCTGCCTCAGGGTGGCTGTGGGGAGCCCGGCACCTGGGACAGGCCCTGACCCTCTCCTGCCCACCCCTGCCCAGGGACCCCTACGTCATCGCGGTGAGGTCCGTCGTGCTGCCCTCACACGGTGAGACGCCAGACTACAGGCGGGGCGAGACCCTGTGCTCCGGCTTCTGCTTCTGGCGCGAGGGGGACCAGCTGACCAAGGTGAGGCTGCCCGCTCCCCCACCCCGCTCCCCCTCAAAGCCACACACCACACAGTCGTCAGTGAGCACCAGCTCCCCTGCAGGGTCCTGGGAGAAGATTCGGCCTCAGGGGGCAGAGGCCGGCCCACGCTCTCCACCTCTGGCAGGGGTGACTGCATGGTACAGCACCCACTTTGAATGGGAGGTCCTGGGTTCCATCCCCGGCACCAGGAAAAAAAAGAAGGAAGCTCTAGGCTGCAGACTAAACACAGCGGGTAGGGCGACTGCCTTGCATGCGGCTGACCTGGGTTCAGTCCCCGGCATCCCGTACCTCCGAGCACAGCCAGGAGTGACTCCTGAATACAGAGCCAGGAGTAACCCCTGAGCATCTCCTGGTGTGACCCAGGGAGCGCCCCCTCCCCGAAAAAGAGAGAGAGAAAAGAAAGCCCAAAGCCTGTCTCTTAGGTACTTAGATGCTGGTTCTATCCCCAGCACCCCACATGGTCCCTGGGCCTGCCTGTCAGGAGTGATCCCTGGGTGCAGAGCCAGGAGTCAGCCCCGAGCACTGCCAGGTGTGGCCCCAAACCAAACAGAACAAGGAAAAGATGCCCTGTGGGGAATAATCTCAGCGTGTCCAGGCTTTCGGGGGTAGCACTGGGGCCTCTGCACTGTCCTGCTTCTGGCTGGCCATGGACATTCATGCTGACAGTCCTGGGATGGTGGAGGTCAGGTGGGTGCGGCCATTGAAGAAGAGGGTCCTAGCGGGTGAACAGGTTGACCCCCTCCGGCCCCCACCCCCTTCTGGGCCGCAGCCTCCCTGAATAATGGCGCCCCCTGCCTGCAGGTGTCTTACTACAACCAGGCCACTACTGGCTTCCTCAACTACCTGACCACCAACGTGTCCGGCCTCTCCTCCGAGTTCTACTCCACCTTCAAGGCTTGCGAGCAGTTTCTCCTGGACAACCGCAGCGACCTGGCCCCAAGCCTCCAGACCCTTTAGCACCCCCCCTCCCGCTGCCAGACCCCTCCCGCCCCCCAGGACACTCAGACAGCACGTGAATGTAGGTGAAAGTGTTTATTCCTACCCCCCCCACCCCTCTGGAGCAGGGACCCAGGCGGGGGGCCACCCGAGGGGTCAGTGTCCATTCCCCAGCATGTCCTGGCGGAGAGCCTGGGGCAGCCTGAAGTAGACTCGAGTCCTGTCCACATTCCTGGCTGCCTGCAGCGCCGCCCGCAGCGCCCTGCTGTCCCCTCGCTCGGGGCCTAGCCCCACGGTGACGGTGGCCCGCGGGGAGGCCGCCAGCAGCCTGGTCACAACGCCAGCCCCACTCCGGCTCAGCGGCCCGGCGTCCAGCTGGAAGGACACGGGCTGCCTTAGGCCCTGGCATAGCTCCAGCATGTCCGAGAGCAGCCGCTCCTGGTAGCCGGCGTCCAGTGCCTCCTCCGGCCAGCTTGGCGCCACGGTCACGTCGGGGAAGACCTTGTTCACCACTCTGAGCAGCTCCGTGCCATTCACGTAGCCACGGGCAGCGAAGCTCCCGTGGGAGATGGTGGCGCCCACCCACACGGGCAGAGACAGCTGGCCCAGGCCGGACAGGCGGGCCAGCACGGCCAGGGTCGGCCACAGTGCTGCGGGTTCTTCGATGTGTATGTGGGCGCCCCACGGCCCGGGGTGGGAGTCGAGCTGCACCAGGCAGTCCTCCAGTGGCAGGCTGGGCCCGCCCGGGGTGCTCACCATGGGCCCCTGGGCCCTAGTAGCGGGCACCTGCAGGCTGACGTTCAGCAGGATCATGCCTTTCTCGTCTGCAAGAAAACAGTGGCTGAGTCCGGGCCCGGAACCCCAGGGCTGGGGTTTCTGAGGGGACGGGGTGCAACGGGCCCCCCCCAGGGAGGAAGACTGTGGGGCCAGGGTGGGGTGAGGGCTCAGTGGGCACTCAGCCCTTAGCGCTTGCCCATAGGTCCTGCCCCTGCGTTGCTGAAGGCTCCAGGTCATCGTCCGAAGGCCACGAGCCCCATGCCCTCAACGCTACTGTCCACTGCCCCCTCCACCCCCCACGGCCAGCTTTGTTGCCTCGTCACAGATGGGGGTCCCCGCTCTAAGCAAAGGACAGCGGTGGTGGGAGGTCCGGCCTGGGGGGGACCTTACCTGGGAGCTGCATGGTCCTTGGGTTGCCCTGGATGTCAGGAAGCAGCCACTGGACCTCCAGACCGTCGCCCCCGGGGGCCTGGAGGAGGGGGATCAGGCTGCCCCCCGTGTAGTAGACTCGCTTCCGTGTGGTGTTCACTGTGGGGGCCGAGACGAAGAGGCTGCAGTGCCCACGTGTGCGGCCCACACCCGCTGCCCTTCCCAGGGGCTGCAGTGCCCACGCCTGCTTTGTAAAGGCCAAGAGGTGACTCGCTCACGACTCTGCATGTGGGGTGTGGTGCTCTTGGCCCCTAGCTGTCCCCGCCCCCCACTGCCCCAGCTCCTGACTCCCAAGGCAGGAATGTGGGCTGGGCTGCTGGCTCGCCCAGTTCCAGGGTCAAGGGGACGGGGGGTCTGGCCAGGGGGGCAGCCAGCACCAGGACCATGAACCTGGTTTCCCCGTGAATAAAATGCAGTTCCCTAGGATGGAGACGCACAGCTCAGACCCAGGTCTGGCCCACAGAAGGCGCCTAAGAGGGTCTCCCCCACCCCCGCTCCCGGGACAAGGCCTGGGAGCTCTGCCCTGTGCCCACCCCTGCCCACCCGCTGCCCCCAGCCGCTCCCTACGGGCTTGCTCCTTAAACTGAGACAGGATCGGCTCGAAGAGGTCGTAGTAGACTTGGTGGGGGGCAGTGTTGTCCCGGATGTACAGGAGGTCGTCCAGCTTCACGGGGTCTGTGTTCGACTGCCACAGCGTCAGGCTGTACCTGGGGCCCAGAGAGAAGCCTCAGCACCCCCCAGCCTGGCCGGACGGGCCACGGCACTGCACAGAGGCTGCCACGGGGCTCCAGAAACAATGACTGCAAGCCCCATAGAGGCCGGCGGTGGGGGAGCCCTGCCCAGCCCCCTCCTTTGGGGGGTGTATTTCTGGGTGCCCCCTTAGGAGAGGGTCAGGGAGAGTGGGGACAGGTGAAGAGGCCGAGCACAGTGAGGGGAGCTGAGCTGGCTCCTGTGGAAGGAGGAGCCAGTTTGGGTGGCGAGAGGGGTCTCACTCTCTACTGAGCTATCTCGGGTGCCCTTTGAGCACTGCCCCCTCCCACGGGCAGTAGCGTTGGGGAACCAGCATGTCTCTGTGATGGGCAGAGCGGTGGGTGAGGGAAGGGCCGCCCCAGGAGGGGCTGAGCTGCCCGTCCTCAGAGGCATCCAAGTGGAAAGCAGGGCAGAGAATGCAGGGTGGGCAAATGACTGTTAAGACCCTCCCGGCCATGGCAGCTGCAGTGTTTCCGGAAGGAAGGGGTGGGCCTGGGCCCGGGGACCCGGGGGCGCTCACCTCTCCGACTGGTCCAGCAGCCAGCTGAAGTGTGGCCAGGCCGCCCGCAGCATGCAGGCCCTCACGGGGAAGGTGACCCTCTGCGGCAGCGGGCCCACCAGCTCCTGCATCTTCTCCACCATGGCGCGGCTGTAGGTCTGGCCCAGGAGTGGGGGCATGTACAGGGTGGTCCAGCCCGGAGACAGGGTGACCTCGGGGTACTTCTCCTGGACCAAGGCCAGGAACCTGCAGGGAGTCGGAGAGGCCGGGCTTTCAGGGCCGTGTCCCAGGGGCTCCCGGGGCCCTCAGCACCGTGCCCGGAAGCAGGGAGATGGACTGTCCGTCCGCAAGACCCAGAAGGAGGGCCCAGACATTTTGTTGGTTTGGGTCACCCTCCGGCGATGCTCAGGGGTCACTCCTGGCTCTGCACGCAGGAATCACTCCTGGCGGTGCTCACGGGACCATATGGGGTGCTGGGAAATTTGACTTGGTTCGGCTGTGTGCAAGACAAGCACCCTCCCCACTGCACTATCGCTCTGGGGCCCAGACCTTGGAGAGTCTGACTCTGTGACGGTGGCCAGCCCCCATACCCCCTTTAACTCCCTGACTCAAAACAGTCCCCTTCAGGCAGGGCAGGGCGGGGTCTCTGTACCATCCCTAAGTGGCCTGGAACTGGCAGCCTCTCTGCGGGGGCATCTGGGCCGTGTCTCTCAAAGTTCCAAATCTCATTTCTGTTATCAGATTTTGCCCCCATGCAAGTTTCTGTAGGCAAACAAGATCTCCTCCTCTTCCTCCTCCCCCAATACTGAGTCAGACCAACACTCCAAGAGGCAGCTTCTGAGGTTTTTTTTTTTTTTTTTGCTTTTTGGGTCACACCTGGCGATGCTCAGGGGGTTACTCCTGGCTCATGCACTCAGGAATGACTCCTGGCGGTGCTCGGGGGACCATATGGGATGCTGGGAATCGCACCTGGGTCGGCCGCGTGCAAGGCAAACGCCCTACCCGCTGTGCGATCACTCCAGCCCCAGCCTCTGAGTTTTTAAACCTCCACTTTGTAAATGCAGCTTGAGACTCAGGTGCCAGAAAGAGGCAGAATGGGTGGGGGGAGGCCCAGAGAATTGGATCCGCAAAAGGCCTGGGACCGCCAAGGGCAGCTTTGAAACTGCGCCTTCACTCTGCTAACCTGTAGTTAGGCGGGCCATTAACTTAGACGTGCAAGCTCCTATGTGAAGAAAATAATTGTACCTACCTCATTCTCCCTGTAAAAGTTCAATGGTCAAGTTCTTAAAAACAGTGCCTGGGCCACTAATAAACGAACTGGACCTCATTATTGTCAGTGTTATCTGCAGCACCCGGGGGTGGGGATGTGCTTACCAGCACTGCTGGGTGAGTCTCAACTCTGACATGTTCTCTCTTTGTGTGTGTGTGTGTGTGGGGGGGGGGGGGCGGAAAGCAAGCACACCTACCAAGAGTGATTCCTGAGCACCACCTGGACCGAGCACTACCAGGTGTTATCAGAGCAGCCCAGCAGAGCTCAGGTGTGGGGATGGGAGGGCCCTCCGAGTTCCTGGGCCCAGTTCTTTCTCGCAGTCCGAGACCCAGCACCAGACGGCTAGTTCATGCGAGTGTTGGGACTTGGGGGGCAGAGGATGAGGGGAAGTGACCACTCACTGGGTGGCGTTGACCTCCACGGAGATGGGCACGTTGGGGCCCTTCAGGATGTCAGCGTTGATCCACACGGGCCTCTTAACCCACCCCTGAGCCGTCAGATCCCGCAGGAGGTCCAGGGAGGGGCCCACGGCCTTGAGGCTCTTGAAGTCCAGTTTGATGCCTGTGGAGAGGGGCGGGGCTTGGGGAAGGGGCTCTCTAGGGAGGGGCGGGGCTTGGGGAAGGGGCTCTCTAGGGAGGGGCGGGGCTTGGGGAAGGGGCGCTCTAGGGAGGGGCGGGGCTTGGGAAGGGGCTCTCTAGGGAGGGGCGGGGCTTGGGGGAAGGGGCTCTCTAGCGAGGGGCGGGGCTTGGGGAAGGGGCTCTCTAGGGAGGGGCGGGGCTTGGGGAAGGGCTCTCTAGGGAGGGGCGGGGCTTGGGGAAGGGGCTCTCTAGGGAGGGGCGGGGCTTGGGGAAGGGGCTCTCTAGGGAGGGGCGGGGCTTGGGGAAGGGGCGTTCTAGGGAGGGGCGGGGGCTTGGGAAGGGGCTCTCTAGGGAGGGGCGGGGCTTGGGGAAGGGGCTCTCTAGGGAGGGGCGGGGCTGGGGAAGGGCTCTCTAGGGAGGGGCGGGGCTTGGGGAAGGGCTCTCTAGGGAGGGGCGGGGCTTGGGGAAGGGGCTCTCTAGGGAGGGGCGGGGCTTGGGGAAGGGGCTCTCTAGGGAGGGGCGGGGCTTGGGGAAGGGGGAGAGGGAAGGCTGTGCGTGCTGGGGCAGGAAGGTTTGCAGACAGAGCTGTGGGCGGTAGAGACCCTTCGGCTGAGCTGCTGCCCAGGGCCAGCTTTGCACGCACGAGCTCTGCTCTCTCTCCCCTCCCTGTATTTTCTACTGTTCTGCCTTTATCTTCGTATTGGTTGCGTTAAGTACAAAGGTAGTCTAGAAATCAATCTTTCTATGAAATTAATAAGAGAAAGACAATAAGGCGGAGACCTAGGTTCTGCTAAGGATTTGACTCGAAGGGGTTGTTCTAGGAGCTTCTTTTCTAGCTTGGTGTTGGCGCATGGTCACCCCCTAGCTGGGAATTAAGAGTTTGTGGCTGGGGGGCTGGAGCGATAGCGGGTAGGGCGTTTGCCTTGCACGCGGCCGACTGGGGTTAAATTCCCAGCATCCTATATGGTCCCCCGAGCACCGCCAGGAGTACCCCTGTGCATCACCGGGAGTGACCCAAAAAAGCGAAAAGCAAAAAAAAAAAAAGTTTGTGGCTGGATATTGGGTCAGTTAACTAAAACTTTACCATAATGAGTGTCTTTTGAAAAAAAATGTTTTCTTGTATTTCCTTTGAAAATATAACAAATGGTTACTTTTATAGTAGTGCAAATGGACTTTTTTTTTTTTGGCTTTTTGGGTCATACCCGGCGGTGCTCAGGGGTTAGTCCTGGCTCTGCACTCAGGAATTACTTCTGGTGGTGCTCAGGGGACCATATGGGATGCTGGGAATCGAACCCGGGTTGGCTGCGTGCAAGGCAAACGCCCTCCCCGCTGAGCTATTGCTCCAGCCCCGCAAATGGAAATTTTAACTGTCAACTTTATCATCTATTTTGCCACAAATGCCACGAATGTCTTCATGAATGGATAATACGTATTTGTGTCACCTCAATTTGTATGTGCAAAGAGGATAGATTAAAAGTTGGAGAACCATAAAAAAAAAAAGGAAAGAGGGCTGTTCTCGCCCCCAGCACCGCATGGTGGGTGGGTTCAAGTGATCAAAGTCAGGAGTAGCCCCTGAATGCTGCCAGGAGGTTCGGCCCTCGGAGCAAACCCAAACCCAAACCCAAACCCAGCTGGGGCCGATGGGAAGGAGCAGCTGGGGCAGGAAGGGCCCTGGGTCCCCACACACGCTCGAGGCTTTGGTAAGCACCTGGCCAGCAAGGACAGGGACCGGGGACTGGGAAGCAGCTGGTGACCCGGTCTGGACCTCAAGGAAGGGGTGAGTGAGGAGGGGGGAGGCTGGGGTAGAGGTGAGGCTGGAGAGGCGGGTGTGGCAGAGGTGAGGCTGGGAAGTCAGAGGGACAGACCGGACCGGACTGGACCGAACTAGACCGGACTCGACCTGGAAAGGCAGGCCAAGGAACTGCCGTGCCCAAGGACAACCGGGAGCCACAGAGGGTGAAAGCCTGCCAGGGCACATGCAGGGAAGCTCCCCGGGGCCATGGTGCGGGGTGGAGGGAAGCTTCCTGGGGCTGCGTCTGAGGGCAGGAAGCCCAGGGGAAGGCCTGGAGAGAGGCTGTGACCAGGGCGGGACCAGCCGGGCAGAGCTGCGGCTGGAGCGACTGTGTGGAGGTGCGGGGTGGCTGGAGAAGGGCTGTGGGGGACGCCTGGCTGTTGGCCAGACCTTGTGCTGGGCCTTGGGAGGGGCGGGAGGCTGGCCTTGCCTGGCGCTCTCACCTGGCAGATGCAGTCACCGTGCCGCTGCGTGTGGTGCTTTGTGTCTGACCCCGCTCTTTCCCACCCCACCTGGTGGCCAGGGGGTGGGGTGGGGGGCGGAGGAAGGGGTTTGCGCCTCAGGGAAGGTCCTTACCCTTCTTCGAAGTGTTCAGCACGGCCTCCAGCCACTGCTTCAGGGTGTTGTCGCTGTAGATGGCCGGGGGGTGGGCCATGATGGGGACCCCAGTCTCGTTGGCCGTGTTCAGCCCTTCTATGTTGACGTCGGCCTCCAGGACCATGGCGTCGCCTGTGGCAAGAATCCGTCAGAACTCAGCTTTTTATTTGCCCTTTGGTTCTTGGGTCATACCCAGCTGTATTCAGGGCTTACTTGCTTAGACTGTGCTCTAGAACCACATGGGGTGCTGGGGATTGATCCACCCGTGGGGGTGCCAGGCCCCAAGAATGCAGCGTCTTCTTCTTTTTTTTTTTTTTGCTTTTTGGGTCCGAGTTCGATTCCTCCGCCCCTCTCGGAGAGCCCGGCAAGCTACCAAGAGTATCTCGCCTGCACGGCCCAGCCTGGCAAGCTCCCCGTGATGTATTCGATATGCCAAACACAGTAACAACAAAGTCTCCAATGGAGACGTTACTGGGCCCGCTCGAGCAAATCGATGATCAACGGGAGGGCCTTTACTTACTTACTTATGCCTCACGGAGAGCCCGGCAAGCTACCAAGAGTATCTCGCCTGCACGGCCCAGCCTAGCAAGCTACCCGTGATTCATTCGATATGCCAAACACAGGAACAACAAAGTCTCCAATGGAGATGTTAGTGGGACCACTCGAGCAAATCGATGAACAACGGGAGAACAGTGACAGCGACAGTGACAGCTTTTTGGGTCACACCCGGCGATGCTCAGGGGTTACTCCTGGATTATGCACTCAGGAATCACTCCTGGCAGTGCACAGGGACCATATGGGATGCTGGGAATCGAACCCGGGTCGGCTGTGTGCAAGGCAAACGCCCTACCTGCTGTGCTATCGCTCCAGCCCCCCGAGTGCAGCCTCTTAAAGGTAATATTGTTCATCACCCAAATGGCACATGTGGGGACAGAGCAGTCAGGAAAGTCAGAAATACCAAGGACCTTCCCCCCACCCCATTTCCTCAGGGCTGTGTGTTTACTTCCATTTTTTTTTTTTGTTTTTGGGGTCCCACCTGGCTCTGCACTCAGAAGTTACTCCTGGTAGTGCACAGAAAGGGGCCAGATAGGATGCTGGGGATTGAACCGGAGTCGGCTGCATGAAAGACAAATGCAGTCCCTGCTGTCCTATCGCTCCAGCCCCCTTACTCCCATTTCTGACCCTGGAGAGTTTTTACACCGTTGAGATCACGCTTCATGCATCGCCTTAAAATCTTTTTTCTCTTCTTTTAACCTTATGACACATTTGCAAATCATCATTTCTACATCTCATTAAAACAGCAGCAGCAGCAGCAACAACAACAAACGCTGCATGGTGCCAGAGATGGCTCAAAGGTCTGGGTTCAGGTTTGCCTGAACTCTGTGGGAGCCCCCCAGAGTGGATCCCCAGCACCAGGTTTCCCAAGCACTGCTGAGAGCGGCCTCTGAGCGCTGGCCAATGTGGAATCCCCCGAAGGGAAGAACCCTGGCTGTCAGTGCTCTCGTTGCTTTGCTACTTCCTCATTCCTGAGACATTTAGGTGACTTAAGTTTTTTTTTTTAATTTTATTGTATTTGTGAGTGTGGGTTAATGTGTGTGAATGTGTGACTGAATGTGTGAGTGTGTGTGAGTGTGTGAGGGGGAAGAGGATCCCTCAGGTGGTGGGGAAGCTGGGGACGATGTTCTCCATGGGGCTTGGCAGCCCTAGGGCAGCGGCCGACAGGGCCTTGCACAGACACATGGCCTGGCTTTGCCCCCGCTTCGGGCTCGGGCCTAGGACTGCACTTGGGGGCTCCCCGCCGCCACCGCCCTGGGAGCACAGTTAAGAACCATGCTCAGCCAGGCCTCCCCGTTTCACACGTGGAATGGGCCCAGGGCGGGCAGGGCCTGTCTGAGGTGATACAGTAGGTTCTTGAGGCAGACCCAGGCGAACTTCTGTTCACCGTGTCAGAGGGTCTATGCGTGTGAGGGAGACATGAAGGGCTTCCTGGAGGAATTAGCCAAGACTGGGTGGGTCATTTCTGAGGGGTGAAAGGTCATTAGTAATGATACCCATGATAGTGGCCAACACCCTGGCTGATAGGAGCATGATAAACGCTAAGTGATGAGCTTATAAGTTTATGATTTCTTGTGATTGAGACAAAAGATGCACCAAGAGGACAAAGAAGGCCCCAGAGCAAAGGAACCCTTTCTTCGGAAAAAGGAAAAAAAAAAAGAAAAGAAACACTTGGGGTCGGGGAGGTGGGGGGGCGGTGAGGGTGGCTGTGTGATAGTACAGCGGGTGGGGCGTTTGCCTTGCACGCGGCCAGCCCGGGTTCAATCCCCAGCATCCCATATGGTCCCCCGAGCACCGCCAGGGGTAATTCCTGAGTGCAGAGCCAGGTGTGACCCAAAAAGAAAAAAAAAGCCACATTAAGTAGCGATTCATGTGTTCGCCCCGTTCCTAACCCCTCACCAGCATTGAGCCAGTTCACTCCACCGGGCCTTGGCTGGCTGGCTGTCCTCGGACCCTGCCCCTTTAGTTGGGAGCTGTGGTGTGCCAGCAGGGGGCGATGCTGGGACTCCCCTCTCGACCGTTCGGCCTCTGGGGTGGAGCCTTGCTCCTCTCGCAACCATTCTCTGCACCACCAGTAGAGGGCGCTCTAGACACGGACTTAATCTGGCCGAAAAACCCAAACCACAGTGTAGCCCTGCCCTGAGAATCAGGTCCAAATTCCTTGCTATTGGTTTTTTCGGAATTGCATGACCAGTCAGGGTTAGCCTAGATCCCCCTCTCTCCTGCCCTCCTTTTTCCCTCCATTCTTTAGTTTCTCATCCCTCGCTCTAACTTTTCTACTGCCAATGTGTATCTCGATCACTCTAGAACCTTCCAAGGGGCCAGAGGGACAGCGGGGAGTGCGTTTGCCTTGCACGTGGCTGACTCTGACTCAGGTTCAATCCCCAGCATCCTATCTGTTCCCCGGAGCACCGCCAGGAGTAATGCCAGAAGTAGTTCCTGAGCTCAGAGCCAGGAGTAACCTCTGAGCATCGCTGGGTGTGGCCGCAAAACCAAACCAAACCAAATTCAAAACCCAGAAGTGTTCAAGAGCAAGTTCTGATCAAAGGCTCTCCGTCAGGTCCCATAAACTGCGTTCTTCAGAAGCTTTCTTCCTGGTGTTGCCAACCCTGCAGCCGGTCCAGGGACCACTCTGCGTAGCTGGAATTCGTCTCCTCCGCCCTTCTCTGGCTCTTACATATCGCTGTTGCCTTGGCAACGCTCTTGCCTCCACAGCTTTCAGAGGCCACCTCCTTCTCATCTGTGAGGGTTGGCTTAAAATACCACTCCTCAGGCGGCTGCTGACTCCCCCAGGCCGTCTGAGTCAGCACAGAGAACCTACCCCCGCACCCCACACCCACAAGAGCTCACTGACTGATGGACCCTGGGCCTGGGCTATGGAAGACAGGGCTCAACTGACCACCAGAGTCCCTGGTACCACTGAGAGGAACTTCAGAAAAAAGGCACTTGGGGGCAGACTATAGTACAGCGGGTAGGGCGTTTGCCTTGCATACAGCCGACCTGGGTTCGATCCCTGGCATCTCATATGGTTCCCCAAGCACCTCCAGGAGTAATTCCTGAGTGCAGAGGCAGGAGTAACCCCCGAGCATTTCTGGGTATGACACAAAAAGGAAAAAAAAAGAGAAAAGAAATAAGGCACTTGTCTAGCATATGGTTGACCCCAGCTCAAAAATCCCTGACTCCGCATATGGACCCCCCAAGCACTGCCAGGGTTCACTCCTGAACACAGAGCCAGGAATAGCCCCTTAAGCACTGCCCTGGTGTAACCAAAACCTCCACATGCCACCCCCCCCCCCAAACAAAAGACTGTCAAGGGCCGAGAGATGGCCCTTGGGTTGAGGTGCTTGCCTTGCATGCAGTTCCCAGGGACCATATGCTGTCCTGCACTGCACCGGGAGCAGCTCTGAGCTCAGATGTGATTCCAAATTAATGAATTTATTGATTAGAAAAATACGGCTGTTGACGGGGTTGGACAGACAGTTCAGTGGGAAGGGTGTTCACATGCCGCCAACCCGGGTCCAACCCCCAGCATCCATATCATCCTCTAGACTGCCATGAGCCATAGGCCCACAAAGGTAGAAGAACAGTCTGAAGTCCCAGGGACAGTGGGGGAAATGACTCAGAGGGCTGAGCATTTGCTTTGCATGGAGGAGTCCCTGGGTAGCATCAATTGGGTGTAGCTCCAGGTCAAAGACACCAGAGGGATTTTGAAGATTTCTCTAAAACCGAATGTGTGGGTCCTAGGAAGGTGCAACACCGCCTGCCAGGCTACCCTGGCAACTTGCAGCATGCCCTCCTGTCCCCATCCTGCCCAGAGCAGGATATCCTCCGCCCACACTTCCTGTGTGGGGGCACATGCCCTGCTCCATGGACATTGCACTCCACCCCAAACACATCGACCAAGCGGCTTGTAACCTGCTCGGCTCGCTCTGCGCCTTTCAGGCCCCTCACATCAGTGCCCACCTTGAGCGTCTGCCTTCAATCACTTCTGAGCCCATCCCCACCCAGGAGGGCGGGGGGTGGGGGGCTAAGAGAGCACCAGAGAGAAATCCCAAGAAAGGGTTCCTTTGCTCTGGGGCCTTCTTTGTCCTCTTGGTGCATCTTTTGTCTCAGTCACTAGAAATCATAAACTTATAAGCTCATCACTTAGCGTTTATCATGCTCCTATCAGCCAGGGTGTTGGCCACTATCTTGGGTATCATTACCAATGACCTTTCACCCCTCAGAAATGACCCACCCAGTCTTGGCTAATTCCTCCAGGAAGCCCTTCATGTCTCCCTCACACGCATAGACGCTCTGACACGGTGAACAGAAGTTCGCCTGGGTCTGCCTCAAGAACCTACTGTATCACCTCAGACAGGCCCCTGCCCGCCCTGGGCCCATTCCACGTGTGAAACGGGGAGGCCTGGCTGAGCACGGTTCTTAACTGTGCTCCCAGGGCGGTGGCGGCGGGGAGCCCACAAGTGCAGTCCTAGGCCCGAGCCCGAAGCGGGGGCAAAGCCAGGCCATGTGTCTGTGCAAGGCCCTGTCGGCCGCTGCCCTAGGGCTGCCAAGCCCCATGGAGAACATCGTCCCCAGCTTCCCCACCACCTGAGGGGTCCTCGTCCCCCTCACACACTCACACACACTCACACATTCAGTCACACATTCACACACATTAACCCACTCACAAATTCACTCACCACTTACACACTCAGACATCACTCTCACACACTCACTCATACATTCAGTCACTCACTCACACATTAACTCATACACATTAACACACACAAGTTCACTCATGAACACTCACACATACTCGCATTTTTGCACTCACATGCACTCACATATTTATACACTCATATACGTTCAGTCCACACACTCATGCACACACACTAACTCACTCACAAATACACACATTCACTCACTCAAGTCATTCACTCACACACAGACATTCACTCACACACACACCAACTCACACAAACTCACTCACAAATGCTCAGACATTCATTCACACTCATACATCCACTCACACTCATTCAGTCACACACTCACTAACTCACACTCCCTCAAACACTCATACACACACTCACACATTCCCACACATACTCATACCCTCATGCACATTCAGTCCACACACTCATACACACTCATTAACTCACACTCAGAAATACACTCACACTCAAACACACTCACACATACAGTCACATACACATTCATTCACACACAGACTCATACACACACACACACTCATGAACATGGTTTTATACAAAGCTCAGATTTGGGGCACTTGAGCTCTCATCTTATGGTTTCCTAAAGTCTTGAGGGCCAAGGCCCCCTGGAGATGATGGGCCAGAAGACTGGACTTGGAGTCAGGGGGGATGGCACTTTCCTGCTCCGAGCCCTCCTTCCTGGGCATGTGTCCCCCATGGGCACTGCATTCCTTCCCCTCACCTACCCTCAGTGTTCCCGGCCCCTCCCTCGCTCCCGCTCGCCTCCCCCGCCACCCTCTCCTCATTCAGGACTCACTGTTCAGAGCCGCCTCCATCTCCTGCCGGCCGTTGGCCGCGTGGTACCAGGTGACCAGCAGGCCGTCCCTCTGACTGATGTGGCCCAGCTCCTTCAGGTAATCCAGCATGTCGCCCTTGGGGCTGCAGGTCTCCTGGCAACTTGGGTGGGCATCTGAGGGGCTGTTAGTGTGGTTCCCCGGGACCCCCCACTCCCTCCTTCCTCCTTCCTCCCTGGGCCCCCGAGAGCGGCCAGCACGCCTTCCAGCCCCAGAGACCAGGGGACCCTTGGCCTCCACTGCGTTTCACGAAAGGAAATTCCCGAGTGGAGACACCAGGAAGCCTGCACGAGCTGGGGCCAGGCAGGAAGTGCATAAAGGAGGGAGATCCGGAGATGGGGTGCACTTGACAGAGAAGCGGGGAGGCTGCTCCAGAGAGGGGGTCAGTGGGGACCTGGCTAGAGCAGCAGAGGACGGGAGCCCAGGGCCTCTGGACAGGCCCCACGGAGAGATGAGAAGTGGAACAGGAGCGAGAGGGCTCGGAGCTCTGCCGTGTGGGTGGCACCCAAGCAAACAGCAAAGGGAAGCCAAGGGAAGAGCAGGGCGACGTGGACAGGGGGAGCCCGGGCCGCCTGGCCTCGGCCTCGCAGCTCGGCTGCGGAGCGGGCAGGTGCCAAGGGCTGCAGGCAGCCTTGTTCAGGAAGTGCCTTGGGTTGCAGAGATGGCAGGGGGCAGAGTGGGGGGCAGGATGTGACTGCCAGGGTGCAGCAGAGGGCAGGACAGCTACGGGGGTGGTGGGTGCGGGGCTGGAGTCGGGGATGAAGAATGCAGGGAAAGGAGTAGGTAGGTGGCTATGCAGGCACTGTGGGGGGCTGCTCTCAGCGCTGCGGCTGAGTTCAGCACTCCCCATTTAATGGCTCAATGGGGCATGCACTGTGCAGGCAGGAACCCGGGGTCCACCCCCAGTGCTGTGGGGTCTCCTGAGCACTGTGCATGGACTAGCCCCCTAATCCCAAAGAAAGGATGCCCGTCCCGGCCAGGAGAGGGGGCGGGGTGGGAGCAGGTCCTTCAGACAGTGAAGCCAGAAGAGGGGAAAAGGACCAGGGAAGATCCTGGGGACCAGTTCTGGGGCTGCCCCTACCAGGGGACGAGCACTGGGCAGCTCCAGGCCCGAGCCGGGGGTGGGGGTCAGGGTGGGGGAGGCCCCTACCTGGCCGCAGAGTGAAGCCCAGGATCAGCCCGAGGGTGAGGACCAGCACAATAGAGCCGCCGCCGATGAGGGCCCACTTGTTCCGGTCCCAGCAGGCCATGGTCAGCCTCTCCGCGTTATCCTCCCCCACGCCAGAGTCTGTGCGGCCTCCTGCACCGGGATGGGGGAGAGCCGGACCCTCAGTGCCCCCGGTGCCCTGGCACGAGCCCGTTCAAAGGTCCCCGTGAAGAGGCCCCCCATGCCACTCCTCCCTCCCCAGCCTCTTCTACCCTTTTGGGACCTAAACTGACCAAGCAGAAAATCCTGCCCCCAACCCCGCAGATGACCTTTGAGCCGGAGAGAGGCGAGCAGGATGTAGTGGTGTGGCCAGGAATTGGAATTGCGAGCCCTAGTCTTCCGAGTCTTACGCCCCAGAGACTGGAGTGATTGTCTCCCTAGCCCGGCTAGGCTCTCCCCCTCTCTATAAAAGGAGTTGGGACCCACCCACTGCACTTTCTGCCCTGCCCAGGCTGTGGAAAGAGCAGATCCTATCACGGGACAGATCAGGTCCTCATTGCTTCCCAGATTAGTTATCTAAGGACCAAAAGGGCTCACCTGGCCCTGAGGGGCCTGCTTGGGGCATCTGAGTCATCCCTGGGAGCCATCCCTGTGTCCCCTGGCCTCAGGAGCAGGGTGGATACACACAGCTGGGTTCTGGACCAAACGCTGGGGCTGAGGTACAGAGAACCGGCAACCCTTGGAGATGGCTGATGGGAGGGACCGTGGAGAAAGAGAGAGGCAGGGGGTCCCAGTGAGAGGAGCGGGGCTGGAGACAGACTGCAGGGTGAAGGCACTGGCCTTGCACGAAGCTGCCCGGGTTTAACCCCGGGCACCACATATGGTCACCTGAGCCCCTTCAGGAGTGATCCCTGAGCACAGGGCCGGGAATCAGCCCTGAGCACGGCCCTGAGTAGAGCCAGGTGTGGCCCAAAAACAGAACAGAATAAGGGGATTATCTGTGCCAGGGAGGATGCTCCTGAGGGCATTATTAGCCCTGAGGGCAGCAGTGGGAGAGGAGTGGGGCCCGAGAGAGAGCTCAGTGGGTAGGGCATTTGCCTTGCATTGCAGCCCACCCAAGTTCCATCCCCAACATCCCATATGGTCCCCTGAGCCTGACCGGAGTGATCCCTGAGTGCAGAGCCAGGAGTAACCCCTGAGCATCACAGGTGTGCCCCCCCCCCAAAAAAAGAAGAATGAGGGACAAGGGTTGGCCTCTTTTGGGTGACTTCACCCCAGCATTGGGCAAAGGCTCCCCAAGGCCAGCGGGTGTCCTAGTGTGGGGCCCCAGCATCCCAGTGGGAGCTGTCTGCCTCCAGGGCTGAGAGCCCCCAGCTCCGGTGTCCCCAGGGATTTCAGGAGAACCCTCAGAGCGTGAGGGACGAGCTTCTGGAAGGACACTGAGGCCAGGAGGGGAAGTTGGGGAAGCCAGCCAAGAGCTCCCCTTTGTCAGAGACACGGGCTGTGTATTGGGCGGGATGTGGGAAGTCCTGGGAGTAGGTTGAAGAAATGGTTCTGAGAAGGCTTCCCTGGCACCACAGAACTTTCTGGCCAACGGCCCTGTGGGGTCTCAGAAAGCCCTGACATTTGCGCTAGGTAGAGCCAGTGGGAGTTCTGCACCCTGGCTCTGGGGGACCCCGAGGCTCTGGGCAGTTGCACGGAGGAGTCATCAGAGGGAGGAGGAACGCAGCCTTGAAGTCCTTCTTGGAAAAGCGATGGATTATGTCACGAGCATCCACCGCACTGGAGCTGGGGCCTGCTGGGCTCGGAGATCGCCCCCTGACCAGAGTCACCTGCTGGTGCGGGGCCATGGCGAGGAGCCCTGGGTCAGGCCAAGGCATCAGGGATGGCGGCCTGCTTCTGGAAGAATGCGGGAGACCCTGGGGGGGGAAAGGGACTTATTTTCTGAAGGATGAAAAGGAAGATTTCACACCCTCCACTCCTATTAAAAAAAAAAAAAGATGACTGAGACATTTGGAAACATGGGAACAGACAATGGTCATTATTCAATATAGGAAGGGATTATCTGAGGAAAATAAAAAGAAAATGGTCATTTTAAAATTAATTAATTAATTATTTATTTAAACTCCATCCCTCTCAGAGAGCCTGCAAAGCTACCGAGGGTATCCCACCCACATAGCAGAGCCTGGCAAGCTACCTGTGGCGTATTTGATATGCCAAAAACAGTAACAATAACTGGCCTCATTCCCCTGACCCTGAAAGAGCCTTCAATATGGCAGCATTGGGAAGGACGAGTAAGGAGAGGCTGCTAAAATGTCAGGACTGGGACGAATGGGACATTACTGGTGCCCGCTCGAGTAAATCGATGAACAATGGGAATACAGTGATACAGTTATTTATTTATTTATTTTTGCTTTTGGGGTCACAACTGAAGATGCTCAGGGGTTACTTCTGGCTCTGCACTCAGAAATTACTCCTGGCAGTACTGGGGGACCATATGGGATGCTGGGAATCAAACCCGGGTTGACTGCATGCAAGGCAAATGCCCTACCTGCTGTACTATCACTTCAGCCCCTTGGTCATTATTTTAAAATAAACAATATGCTCAGGATGAGAACACTATTCGGGTCTCCCAAAGAGAAATTGAAAGAGCTATGCTTGGAGTATAGCTCAAATGAGAGAAAGAATCCGGAGTTCCGACCTCCGTCGATGGTCAAGAATCAGGGATGCTGTCTCGTTTGCCAAGGCGTCGAAAATCAGATGGGCTGGACACATAATAAGATTTGGAGACGACCGCTGGACTAGAGCCATTACCGACTGGATTCCACGGGACGTCAGAAGACCTAGTGGCCGCCCACCTACGAGATGGTCAGACTTCTTCATCAAGACCCTGAACGATCGGTTTGAGGCTTTTCGTGTTCCTAGAACGAGCAGATGCCATTGGGCTACATAAGCACGCTACAGGGACGAATGGAGATGTTACTGACGCCTGCTTGAACAAATGGATGAGTAATGGGATGTCAAGTGATCGAGTGAAACAATATGCACTAAGCAGTTTATACCTTATGTTCATCCTGTTACCTCTCCCGGGAGATTAGTGTTGATTTTGGGGGAAAACCTTATTGAGGGACATGCTCTGAGAAGAGGGTGGACTCAGTTCCCACCTCCCTCTCCGGCTGGGGCTGAGGGTTAGAGGAGCTGCTTGGGTGACTTAGAACCATGTAGTTGTCAAGGCTGGAGTTGGTACAGCGGGTTGGGCATTTGCCTTGCATGTGGAGAACCAGATTCAATCCTCAGCATCCCAGAATACCACCCAAAATAATTTCCGAGTGCAGAGCCAGGAGTAAGCACTGGCATCACTGAGCGTGGCCAAAATAAACAAGCAAACACAACCAAAACCAAACAAACGAGGAGTGGTGGTGGGCAGAACTGGAAATCCTCTCTGGTAAGTGGACCCTTGGGAAGTGGAGTCGGCTCCTTATAACGTGGGTGGACATCGTCCTTCTCTAGGGCTTGGTGATGACCTTCAGGAGCCTTTCTGAACAAATCCTGAGGCCTGACCCAGAGAACTGGGAACTGAGGGGATGGAGCTGGCAAGGGAAAGGACCATGGTTCTCGACACACCTGTGGAGGGCGGGTGTGGCAGCCTTCACTGGCTTTAGCCGTCACAGTGATGCTCCGGAAAGGGCATTAACCAGGACAGAGTCCTTCCAGAGAGAGGCCCTTGACCCTTTTCCAGGGGAGAGGCGTCTGCTGCAACATATCCCAGAGGAATTCCAGACTGGACCTAGTTCAGCAAGAGAAGAACAGCTCAAAGCTGAGGGGCAGAACCAAGACAGGAGAAAGAGAGATGCTAAGAAACACTTCGGGGAGGGGGAAGCGTGGAGAGTGGCGATGTGATAGCACAGCGGGTAGGGTGTTTTCCTTCAGGCGGCCGACCCGGGTTCGATTCCCAGCATCCCATATGATCCCCCGAGCACCGCCAGGAGTAATTCCTGAGTGCATGAGCCAGGAGTAGCCCCTGAGCATCGCTGGGTGTGACCCAAAAAGCAAAAAAAAAAAAAGAAACGAAACACTTGGGATGGGGGGGGTGGGGGGTGGCCGTGCGATAGTACAGCGGGTGGGGCGTTTGCCTTGCACGCGGCCAGCCCGGGTTCAATCCCCAGCACCCCATATGGTCCCCCAGGTACTGTTGAGTACAGAGCCAGGAGTAAACCCTGAGCATTGCTGGGCGTGACCCAAAAACAAAAACGAAAACAAAACAAAACCTAAAAAACGTGGGGCCGGAGCCACAGTGCAGTGGGGAGGGCGCTTGCCTTAAGTGTGCCCATCCTTGGTTTGATACCCCGCCCCCCATAGAGTCTCCTGAGCCAGGAGTCAGCCCTGAGCACCTCTGGGTGTGACCCAAAAAAAACAAAGAAAAGGAAGAGACACGCATAAGGAACAGAACGGGGTCCCTGAAGCTTGTTTGCTGGCTTTATTGATCACTGTTTCCCCCCTTCCACCTTTTTAAATGTTCACATTTATTATTGGTATTTTTTTCTTTTTCTTTCGGTAAGTGAATTTAGTGGCTTAACACATGGATGCCCATGTGCACCACCTGTGGTTTAATTAACACCATTTGCAGCAGTTATCAGCGTGTTAAACAATGTATTTCCTTATCGTGCGCGCGCGTGTGTGTGTGTGTGTGTGTGTGTGTGTGTGTGGGTGGTTATTGGGCCAGAGATGCTCAGGGTTGACTCTTGGTTCTGTGCTCAGGGACCACTCCTGGTGGTGTTTGGGAGAACATATGTGGTGCCAGGAATTAACTGGGATTATCCAGGTTCAAGCAAGTTCCTGCAGGGCACATTTCTTACCTGACTGTTGTAGAGGCGAGAGGGAAGAGATTTCACAGGCCCCCTGAGGACGTGTCTGGGGCTGTACTCCAGAGGCTGCAAAGTCTTGCAGCTTTGAGTCTGCACGTTCCTTGGTTTGTGGCCGCTTTTCTTCATCTTCAAATTTAGCCAGGTGAGACCCGTCCTGTCTGTACCACGTCTCTCCGGCTCGCTCTCGGCTGCCTGCCCCTTGCAGTGACGAGTGTCTTCATGACTGCACTGGGTAAATTTGCAACCGGATCCCAAACAAAACACAAACACAGTCCTCCCGTTGTTCATCGATTTGCTCGAGTGGGCCCAGTAACGGCTCCATTTTGAGACTTTTTGTTACTGTGTTTGGCACATCAAATACGTCACGGGAGCTTGCCAGGCTTTGCCGAGAGTAATGGGATGTCAAGTGATCAAGTGAAACAATATGCACTAAGCAGTTTATTCCTTTATGTTCATCCTGTTACATCTCTCTTGGGAGATAAGTGTCCCAGAGGAATAAGTGTCCCAAGCTACTCTCGGTAGCTTGCTGGGCTTTCTGAGAGGGGCGGAGGAATCGAACCCGGCTCAGCCGGGCCAGCTGCACGCAAGGCAAATGCCCTACTGCTGTGCTATCGCTCCAGTTATTTCCCTTCTCACACAAAGCAGCATCTGCCGGTTCTGGGGGTTCCATCTTCACAGGTTCTGGGATTCGGGTATAACGTCTGGGGTGGAGGGTACGTTATTTTGCTGACCACAGTGAGAAATGATATTTTCATTCTCCTTTGAAATT